AATTAAAGTCAAAAGATTAACGAGCTTTAGCAAATTGCAAAGATTGCAGATTAATTAAGGATGTTCTCGAGGTGAATTTCGAATAAAACTTCGGCGGAAATCGTTTTGCCGTTGCCGATTGCTGCGGTCGAGTGGACCCGTCTCGATGAATTTATTCTGGTGCGTGCAACGTGAAATTCGGATGAAACTCTGGAGACCATCCCTTCGTCGACGATCGCGAGGACGTGAATTTAGCCAATGCCTATAGAAGAGCAGGTGAGCTCACTGCCGGGTCGATATTCGACGTTCTCCTGCGCAAGACGTCACGTGTTGCATGCCCACGCAAAAGCGTGGCTACCGTTGTCGCCGCCTTTCATCGACACGAGTGGCTTTAGGTGCCGAAAGGTTTGGAGAGCGAAGGGACTGGAGTTCGCGAATGCGCATGCCAGAATTCCATCCGCTCGTCGAGTGACGCGACCAGAGGCGTGTTTCTTTGCTCCGTTGTGAGAAGCAGAAGCAAAAGCAATCCAGAAGGTATACGTGGTGGCCCCGAAAAGGATGTTCCTATTACGAGATGCAACCATAACGCATCGCATAGGCATCTATGATACGAAAACATTCTTCTGAGTTCGGAATGAAATGTGATTTCTCTTTAGTCCCTAATAATATACATGGATGTTTCCTCTATTCTAGTCGATGGTGGCCAGAGGATGGAACCTGCCACCGTCCAGTTGCACGGTGTAGCGAGACGAGGGGCATCGGCTTGCCCTGCTCGTACGATCGACGATTCTCTTTTTTAAATCTTCAATGCTATATACCGTATTTTCCGTTCATCCGGAGAAGTTTTCTCATCCCCCCCGAGCGAATCTCTCTCGTCGATCTGGACTTGCTAGCAAATGACATACGATACGAAATGAAGCAAAATATTCTCTTTCCCACCTCTTCTCTCTCCCTCACCCTTGGGGAAAAGAGAGAGAAAACATTGGATCTCCCCCTTCGATGGGGTGAGGAGGAACGTCGAGATTCGATTCGGGGTTTCCGGTATCGTTGTGGTGCCGCTCGATCTCTCGGTTTAATCCGCACTCGTCAGAGCCACGAGACGATTCTTAGCTCCAATCACGAGTAAGTTTTCTCGGCGTCGTCTCACACGATTTGGGGAATCGCAAGTCGAGCAGAAGAAGAAGAGCAACGAGTTTTCTTTCGAGAAGTCTTTCTCGTGTACCGATCTTTCATCGTCTATGCAAGAAAACTTTGCGGTGCGGACGAGGGCTCAGGTGGAAGGCAAGTCGAAGCACGTCATTTCGACATTCCAACATCGACCGTATCGGATATAAAGATGCGTCGCGATAACTCGAAGAGGATTCCGAGGATGCGAAACGCACTGTTTCGAGATACACGAATCGACGCAAAATAAATTTTTGGAATTTTGGATTTATGCGACCGATCGAAGGGGCAGAGTTTAAGCTTTCCAGCTCCATTTTTAGAAAATGACCAAAAGGGCCATTTTTCACGTTATCGAAAAGTTTCAAATTGTTTTTTTTTTTTTTATCCAGGAAAAAATAATAAAAATGAACGGTCATTCGGGCACGTTCTCGATAATCCGGACGAGCCGTTAATTCACCGGTACCCTCGAGTCCGGATTAACGGGAGTCGACCGTATCCCGAGCCTCCATGGAGGCTCGGGAAACAAAATTTTTTATGCCTCTGCAGAGTCTTGTGGGTTTTCGGATTTTGGTGCATCGCACGCGTAACGATCCGCAGCAAATTTCTGCGCGAAATCTGCGCCTTTCGGCCGGGTCATTCGATCGTCCGGCGTGAAACGACCCCATGATTTCGCGATCGGCTGACCCCGTATTAACGCCACCCTCGCAAGCCGCCGTCCGCCGATCCCATGACTCGTACCAGCGGTTCTGAAACCGTGGGTCGCAGCAAGGCACGAAGAGGGTCGCGAGGAGCTAGGAGGGTTCGGGGCACGAAAAGTATATCTTCTAAAATCTGTGACCCCTTTCCGCACGCGTGCGAGAGGGGGTCGTGCAAAGCCCGAGAATACTCCTAGGGGGTCGTACGTTTACAGAGTTCGAGAACCACAGACGTACGAACGCTCTTTCTTCCGCGTCGATACTCGATTTTGCGTGAAATAGCGCACCTGCTACGATCCTTATACGGTGCCAAACGTGGCTAAATATTTGTTGTCGATGATGAACCGGCTCGCGTGACAGATGGTGACGGTCGCGTGACAACCCGCTCGCGCGACCTCTCGCTGCGTTCCGCAGCGAGATTCGCTTCGAGTTTACCCCTTCGGCAGACCCTTTGGTAGCACCTTCAAATAAATTCATGGAAGCTATCCTTAATCGACAAACGAGATGAAATTTCGCCAGTCGCCATCGGTGACATCTGTCTTCCCGTGACGAGAGTAAGAATTGCGTATTGCAACAGGAAGGGCCTCGGTCCCAGAACTTTTCCACCACCCCTCGTACGTTTCCGAGCGTGCCGCAACGTGCCGAAAAGGCTTCAAATTTTATCGACCGAGACGGAGGACATATAGAGCACCCGAAGTGAAGATTTCTGCCGTATTTTTTTTTTTCTCGTAAACGTACTTTCAAAAAATAAAAATGGCTCCTCGATCCATCGAGCCGTTTTGTTTCTACTCGAATTTACACGCGTTCGGTTGCTTAGTGTTCACCCTGTATTCTCGAAAGTGGGTTCCCCTAACCTCCTATTTCCCATAAGCCATGGGTTTTACCAACCGCGGTGTTTTCCAGGTACGTAGCCCCCGCGGTCGGCGAGGGATGACTGCACCGTGACGGTGGCAAGCGGATCGACGTCCGATCGAGTCCGACGAGTTCGTCGTCCGAGAGCAGAGAAAAGGAAATGCGCAATTTCGAGGCTTCGTTCGTTTCTCGTTCTCGACCTTCTCGATCGCGTCGCCCACGGAATCGCGATGCGAGATCTCTCCGAACTCCCACGTCGGTGACGCGAGGAAGGAGCGAGACGAGGACGAGAACGGAAAGCGAGGGACCGCACGCATCTTTCACTCCTACTTTCGTTCTCGCCGCCGAAGCGTTTTTCTCTTCGTCTCGATTCTGCACGACGATTCTGATTCTGCTCGCTCTCACGGGAAGGTTTCCGAGTCCCGTTTCGTCCGGGACGGCAGAAACGCGGAATTTCCTTCGACCGACGGTAGGATTCGGATCGCCGCGAACGACGATAGAACGCGCCGATGTCGTTAAGGTCTCGAGAAAGGAAAACGCCTTTCGACGGCGACATCCGAAAAAGGATTCGCGGACGCGAGGCAGAGACGAATCGTCGTCACGCGGCGCACATCCCATCCCGAGTACGAATCGTAGAAACTCGGATGCCTTTAACGTCCGATCGATGTTCTCGATGCCCTCGGTGACGGTTGGCGTCAGAATTTCGGTAAAGATGTCGGAGTTTCCGAAATATGAGTTTTCCTTCGACGGAGCAAAACGTGACCTTTTGGCACTCTTCATCTTGCCTTCATCGAAGAGGATGAGAATCCATCCGTTCCCTCTCGCTCTCGTGACGACTTCAAGGGCTTTTCGCATTCCGTATGGAAAAATGGTTCGTGATGTCTTACCAGAGGAGGTGGGGGAGGTGGGGGGAAATCGCATTCATTAACACGAACGAGGGAAGCGCTGTCGCTGTCCGTCTCTCTCTCGCCCCCTCTCTTTCCCGTGCGATGAAGAATACCCGACGACAACGATGAGCCTGCATATCGGCTCCATGACTTTTTCATAAAGGGGCACGTTTAGCCTGCCCCTATCGATTCCCTCGCTCGTCCTTCGACGGAGGGGTGGAGGGATCGGAGACCGAGAAAGCGATCGGGGATCCGAAAGGGGCAGACGCCCGCGAAGTGACGACGGGTGCGACGGCAGGTGGCAGCGAGGACGTCCGGGATCGACCCGGTTCGTCTTCGTCGCTCGTCGGAGTCACTCCGAGCGGCCTCTGCCGATGTCGCTTCCCGAACGGAGGATCTCGACTCGAACGGCGTCGTCCCGAACCACCCGACCCGGCCCGCATCGTCTCTCGCGTGCGTTCCGACGGTTACGTCCATAGGGATGGGTACGAGACGCACCTCGTCGCACGCGAAGCCCCGTGCGTCCACGCGTCCCGGATGGGCCTCCCGTCTTTTCGATTCCCCCGCCCGGATAAAAAATCGGATCGAAGAGAAACGGGGTCGACGTCTTTAAAAATGGACCCGCTCGGGTTCGTTTTCGTCCATCGAAGACGGGCCGAATGGAGTGCCCCATCGTCGCTCTCCTCTATAGGATGACGACGACCGCCTCGCAATGTGTCCTGGGCAAAACCACGACGTCCCGTCGTCTTTCCCCGAGACGATGCGATCCACTAGTACGATGACGAAGGGAACGGGCCGTAAAGGAGACGAGATGGAAATACCGTAGGTCATCGATGGATGGATACGGAAGAGTTTCATCGCTCGAAAGCGTGCGAGGCGTATAGCGTTTCCTCTCTCGTCCGGTCACCCGATCTTAACGTCAAATTCATCTAATTATTTCCCAGGATCGTTGCGTTACGATCAAACTTCAATATGTTCTGCGCTGCTTCCACATTTACACATATTGTAACCTATTTTTAGATCGTAATTCATTTGCGGCGCATTCCCCCTCGGTTTTCGAAACGGAACGCGAACGTAAGCGATGCGCATTTGAGAAATCCGCGTTCGATAACTATAGTTATCGAACGCGTATTTCTCTGCGTACCGAAGACGATAATCTTCGGTACAGAGTTCAGAAGCCGAACTTCGGGTTCGAGTGCGATGGATGACTGATGTTTCGAAACGAAGATCGAGCAGATCGACGAAATCAAAGTGCTCATTTCGATACGTAGAAAAAGCTTAGCCCATACGTAACGTGATCTTTTTCTCGATCTCGTACGGTTTTGGTATCGTCACGGCGGACCGCGAAGTTTTCATTTAAGTCTCGTCACGTCTCCCGAAATACTCGTCGATATCGTAGGAATGCGGCACGATGAAGACGTCGTTACCTTCGACTGGGAATCCTACCGTCTCGAGTTGCACATCCCCGGAAAGAAGTTCCCCATGCGAACGGATGGAAGAGCTTGCACTCGATTCGCCTCGTCCGCTCGTTTCCTTCTCGTAAACCGTCTCGAGTTTTAGTTCCCTTCCGCTCGAGGACGCACCTCGGACTCTCGCTAAATTCCTTCTCGAAAGGAACGAGAGGATTTTCCTCTCGTCGACGCATGCTCGTACGATCCCTCGGCGACGGAGGGTTTAGGGATCCGGTCGGCAGAAAGGAAACGGGACGGGACGACGCGACGAGGACGGGAACGGGAAGGGACGACGCGACGAGGACGGGAACGGGAAGGGACGACGCGACGAGGACGGGAACGGGAAGGGACGACGCGACGAGGACGGGAACGGATGTCGAACCCCGTCTCGCTTTCGTTCGCGGTCTCGTCGCGCGAAACCTTACGGGAGCGATTCCACGGATCGCCATCGCCGAGTCGCGACGAGAGTGCGACTCACTGAATCGGACGGCCGGAGAAAGGCTCAAGAGATGGGAAGAAGCGGCTCCTGCCGTTCCGTGCCCCAACAACGTCACCCGATCCCGGTCTCCGCCGAACTGCAAGATGTTTTCTTGGACCCAGTGCAGAGCCGCGATCTGATCCATCGATCCCAGATTCAACGCCACTCCTCCGAGCCGTAGGAACCCTGGGAAGAGAAAAATAAACAAGAGGAAAAGGTGTCAGGACGGAACGGACTCGTAATGCGGCATGCGAATTTGGGATTAAAATGAGGGTATGGGGATGCAGGTCACGCCATGCGACGTTCCCAAGCCATTCCAATTCGTCCGAGGGTATCGTCGTCTCGTTTTTCCTTTTCCTTTCCTAGGCCTACGCGGAGGTGCACTCGGGGAAAGACGCACCGAGTCGTCCGAGTCGATACGAGAAGGTGACGACGACGGATCGGACCCTGGAGGAGAGATCGGTGGCGTCGAAGGGAGAAACGGGAGCCCAATCGTAGGAATCGCCGACGACGAGGACGAGAACCGGCAAGAGATCCTCGGATGGCACTGGAAGAAAGGAGAAGGTTTTCGTTCGTCAGATCACGCGACGTACCCATCGCCGATCGAGGAAGGCATCCCTTCGTTAAGGGAATCGCAATCGGTAACGAGAGGAGGAAGAATGGGAGATGGTGGCAGGTCCATTTCCGACATTTCTTCTCGTCGAACGAGTTCCTAACAAAGCTTGATGGTCGGGCTCTAATGGCGCATGAAACGCGGTCACCGACGAGCGTTTCGGAACCCCACCGAGAGGAACGGTGCCCAGAAGAAAAAGAAAAAGAAAAATAAGGAAAAAGGGGTTTCCCGTCTCTTTCTCCTGCTTCGCTTTCGCGAGAACACGCGCGTTCTTCCTTCTCGCCTGGATTCTTTCGTGCTTCTCTCCTCGATTTTCAAAGCGACCTCGGACGCAGGATTTCTTTCGCACCGTAAATCTCCTTCGGAAGGAAACGAGGGGGGTCGGAAACGAAACGGAACACCTTCGTGTTCCTCGTCGTTACGAGATGTCGGATGTCGGTGGTGAAGCGAGCGACGAAGACGTGGGATGGGGAATCCCCATCCGATATCTACGTCATCGTGGGTCGGAGGCCGGCTGAATATCGAATCTCGAGCATTAAAATGGTAAACATCGAGCACGATACGTTCCGTTCTTAAATGCCAATTACGAAAAACTCGGGATCGCATTCGGACGAGCCAGGAAAGACACAGAAAGACGTATCGGTACGATCGAGCCTTTCCTGGTTTTTCGTCTCTCGGAAGGCGAGGGCGAACGGTCTCGAAGAGGAGCTGCTCGTTTCTCTTCCGACGACGAACGAGTCGCCTTTCTCCGTTCGTCCGGTATCGCAAGAAGAGGACCGCCCGTCTCTTCCCTTCTCCTCCCGTCTTCGCGAAGTCGGCTTTCTTACGGCTCGGCAGAGACGCGGGAGGAGATGCGACTTTCGTTCGTCGGAGACGAACTTCTCGAATCGCATTCGTTTTGCCGTAAGTTTCCGCAGACGGCGTTGCGGTCGACGGCGCTCGGGCCGACGCCGATCGTCGAACTCGGAGCGCCGCACGCACCGCCACGCCATCGAAGCTCGCTGACGCACGCACGAGTGGGTTTTCCGTTCGGATCTTCCCGACGGCCCATCGCACGGTTGAGCCCTGCGAGACGGAACCGAAAATAAGAAATCGATGAAAGAGCAATCGTTTTTAAGCAAATGCGAACCTAGAAAAAGGATCGATTTTCGATTATTTTGCATTCACAGCAATATTTTAACTTCTTTTCGAGTCATTTAAATATTTTACACGTTTCCAAATAGGGTTCAAATACTAAATACTGAATAGAGAAAAGCATTCAAATATTCAATGTCGATGCTTACATTTTAAATGCTGTCCAGAGATGGGATTTAAAAGGGAGCATTTAAAATGCAATTAGAACCTGCACTTCTAATCGACAATGAATGCCTCGAAAGCAAACATAAATAAATAAATAAAAGAGACGCAAGGATGGTGAAAGATAGAAATAATTCATATTGCATACTCATAAATTTTTCTCTGGAATCATGACTGCTTTCCCTCATTCGCCAACTTCAGACTCGAAGAGAAACATTTCTGTCCGAGACCCAAGATTCTACTCCATTTCCTAATTCCACCATTTTTGTGAAATTCATGTTTCTTCATGAAAATGAATAATCGTCCTGATATTCGAGAGCCGATGCTTTTGGGAATCGGGAATGCTTCCGATTCTGAATATTTATCGCACGTAGCTCATAAAGGCAGTAAATTCGATATCACAAATGGCACGTGACGTTGCTCCTAAATCGACCGAAAGTCGACTATGTCGGTAGCATGTAAAAGCAGGACGATGGCGTCGGTCCGACGATCACGGAAAGCAAAAATTGGACACAGGAGACCTCTTCTCGGTCGACGTCAGTGGACTCGTTGCAGAATACGAGTTCGAAACGTGGACCGACCGACCGTCTCGACCGGCTACCTGCCCGTATCGAGACGTCATCAAAAGTACCCAACGAAAGTGGACTTTCCATTTTGAAGCGATCGATGGAAGCGGAATGAGCTACGATATACGAGATCGTAGAACGTTCTGGTAGGTAAAATCGTAAACTTTCCCAGCGGTCTCTCGTTGCATAGCTTTGCTTTTGCGAAAAGACGCTTGGAATGGACTGTAGTGATGGGGATGGCACGGAGAGGCACAATTAAACGTCCTGGGTTCGGTCGCGTAATGGTAGCACACCCGACCGGGAATCGGGAGACCCGGGTCGGATTCCCGGCCGTCCCGTGGCTTTCTTTCGTTCCCTCTTGCCTCTCTTGCCATCTCCTGCCTTCGGTCCTCGTGACAGTATTCTCTCGCCCCCTCGTCAGCGTGCATCAGACTCTCTCACGGCAGGAGGTTCGAGCTTCTGCAAAGCACCTACACTGTACGCCACATCGACCGATGCGGATGGGGGCGTCGTGCTACGAAGTCCATCTAAATTCGGTTCCGCATGGGATCTAATTCCATGTGAGATTTCTCTCTCCGAATCGCTTAGCGCCTGGGCATCGGATACAAATGTTTGCTCTGCCCATCGTGCATGCTCGAAAACGCAGACGAATTTTCACATGCATGTTTTTCTGCGTTCGCAGATTGCGTGCTTTCTCGAATTCTAGGGGAAAAGAATAGTGGTACACAAGAACAGAACGATGGAGAGATTTCGGGTTAATGCCTTCCGAGAGGCAATCGAAAGAGAAGCGAGTTTCGTCCTTCCCTTGTGGATTAAGAAAGCATTCCATCTCCAGACGTGGAAAAGAACATTAATTTAGTTATGCTCTGCTCATCCTTCCTCTTTTCCCCGATGGTTTAACATCCTGGGGTAGAGACTTCTTCGAGGAGAGATTAAAGCTGCAGTCTTCATAATCTTTCACGTCTTTAAAGGTAAACACCTTCTTCTCCAAGTGAATTGGTCCTCGATTCGATAGGCATGTTAGCATAATTTGTATCTACAGAGACCTGCTCCAGATTCAGATCCATTTTATACATCTACCACCACATGTTAGTTATATTTAAATTCAGCAGTCGATTTTGATCATACCTGTCAGAAATAATTTTCCCAAGCAATCGCCTTGCCATTCCCCTGGAAATTGGGTTCATGAAATTATACAATTTCACTTTCAAATTTTCGGATGTATTGTGAATCCTGAGAGCCTTAGAACGATGAACAGTTCATGTCCTCAAGATATTAATGTAAAAAAGTATTGTAAAATTATTATTGATCACCCTGATTAAAGATGATTACTTGGAATGTCAGCTAGTATTTGCTGCACAATTTTTTTCATCAGTGTCCCCCTCATTGTATCTCCTATCAGTCGAAATGGAAGCGCTCTGGGGGAACCGAAACAAAGGCTGGTTGACATTGTGTCAGTTAATAAAAAATTCTGTAGTCGAACGGCCGGCCTGATTTCCGCACACCGAACCGAAAAGAGTTATCCAAGGTCAAGTGAAGTTATCAAAGCTCAGTCTAACACTTTTCCAAAGGATTGCTCTGTTAGTAGCATTTGGATGAATAAATTATTTATTTATTTAAGATCGGTATTCTCATTCCTCTTTCATCATAACCCGACTGTAAGCCAAATTCATTAAATTCTTCGATGGTTGAGCCCAGGATATGGCACCCGTGAGGTGGAATGATCTTGGAAATTTTGTCCCGAAGCATTATACGGTTCGGACATGAACACCGACAAAACTTAGGGTGGATTTTTGAACAGAGAACTATCCGATAATACAGCTTTATTCCAACTAAAATGCATGCTATTTTCTTTGGAATAAAGCTGCATTATCGGATAGTTCTCTGTTCAAAAATCCACCCTTAATCTTCTTTCTATCTCATCCGTAGCCTTCCAATGTTGATCGCTTACCGGTATTTACCATATTGCTGGTCATGCACGAAACTGTCTCTCACATAAAACGATAGGGCTTTTCCGTTTTTTTATTTATATTTTTTTTACATATTCACCCTATACTTTGCCTGGGAACTCTATGGCGGGATACTCGAATGAGAGGTTCTTCCCTCGCATGACTTTTTTTTTAACGGCCCGAAACGCCTTGCTTCCGTCTGTCCGGCCAAGCTGACAGCCACCAGCGACTCGATGACAAATGAGTAGGCGGATGCAGGATGAAGCACCGCATTTTCCAAGGAGAGACAGTTCCATATCCTGGGCTTGACAGAGGGGAGGGATGAACCTTGATTGAGACGGATGAGAAGGTAAAGGAGAAGCCAATTGAGACGGGATCAAGATCAAGGGCTAAAAAAATGACTTACGGGCCTAGAATGGATTTCCCTCCCTCATCCATCCCGATCCTCCCCTCTTCTCCTTCCGCCTCGTTTTCTTTCCCCTTAACCTCCCTCCTGCCTACTTGTGCAATTGCACCACCTAGAGCTGCCGCGCATTCCCGGATGACGAAGCTCGAAGCTTGTAATGAAGCTGGCCTTGTGATCCTTCCGAAACTCTCTCACTTAGCGAAACACCTTAGTCATATTGTTTCCTTTTTTCGAAAGGAGTTGCGATGACGAGTTGGCCGGTCTTGCAAAAAATAAAAGACCTCATCGTCACGAGGTCCGAAAGGTTTAAAATTCATCGACGATCACCAGACTAGCGGGGGCGAAGAGAATCCTAACAACGACTTTCATCATGCGATGCGATGCAACGTTACGTCGTGCCGTCTCTTCGAACGGAACTTCCTTACGGAAAGAAAGGGCCGTAAACTTTAGTCTGCGGTTTCACATAGGGCGCTATTTTCGAGTGATCGAGCGTCGCAAGGAGATGAATAGAGAGCGGCCCCACCTTTGTGCTACGTCCACTGTCGAGGCTTCCCCGCAGAGCGAATAAGCTACGTGGAAAATGTGCAGAAAAGGAGCGCTGGGGATCGATGGAGATGGGAACACGATCCATTCTTGCCTGTTTCTATCAAATCGACTGATATTGCACCGATGCCAGGGGAAATGAAGCCTCTTTGAGGCGAACGCACGAGGCCGACAAATTTCACGGAGTCTCGCTCGTTCCGTCTCCTTTTATCTTCGCTCCCTTC